AAGTGGACAAGCCACCTTTTCATCCACTGTGATCTTATTCTTTCTGAATAGCCAAGGAATGTGTGACTGAAACTCAGATTGGGTTGACATTGGGTGAGAGTCTGCATCCTGCCTGGTCTCACCGTGAAGTGTTTGTGCAAAAGTCCAGCTGAATTCAGTTAGCTGATTGCCGCTAACCTGACAGCATCAATAGATTTCCAAATGCCTCAATTTACCTTTGAACAAATAACTTGCTTATTAAGGTGAGGTGACATCCAGTGCCAGAGCCTCTGAACTGTGGCACTCTTGGTTTTCCAGGCCAGGCGTTTCTCTGCTGGGCCTGTCCTGTCCACTGTAGAACATTTGGAGCATCCTGGTTTCTACCAATCATGGGTCAGCAGCACCTCTTGCCACCGAATTTTTGAGAATGAAAAGGGTCTCCGGATATTGCTGAATGTCCCATGGGATTATGACTTCCCCATTGGAAATTTGTGTTCTAAGCCAGTAGTTAAAAAGTCTTGCCTATACCAGAACCCAGATCTGATGTTTCCTTCTGTGGCTTAGCAGCCTGTCTGGACAGTGTTGACTTCTGACCTTCTGTGTTAGATAGGAGTGGCCATTAAGTACTTTACAGTTCTTAGATAAACAGGTAAACATGCATGTTTCCTTCTTGTAAACAATTTCTAGTCAAGGTAAAATTTTAAAATGTTTTCATTATGTTTCTTTATTTGTGTGTATAGGGGTGTGCATGTGGAGGTCAGAGGACAATTAATGTGAGTAAGTTCTCTCTGCTCACCATGTTGGCCCCAGGAATTGAACTTAGGTCAGGCCCAGCAGCAAGTGATTTTCTCCAGTGAACCATCTCATTGACCTAACTGGAGAAACTATTACTTTGCCACATAGACTTAATGCTGAATAATAATAATAAATGCAATAGTAGATTATTGCGTACTTCCAGAAAAGCTTTTTTTTTTTTCGGTAGATGATGATTAATTCAGAGACCCATAATGGAACAATTGTGTAGAAAATAAGGGTCTGTGGTGTACTCAGCTTTAAGTGAGATGTTTCAATTATACCCCCTTGCCTCCAAACTCAGGGACCAATGTGGAAAAGGGATGGAAAGAGTCTAAGAGGAAGGGGAAGCAGATGTCTGTAGCAAGACTGTATTTGCCAGACATGAACTCACAGTGACTAGCACTGTGTACACAGATGTGTACAGGCTCAAGCCAGCCAGCATGGTGGGGGCCTCCTGAAGTCCCGCCCCCATCTGATGACACTGGGTTTGATGGTTGCTTGGGGAGAAAGCCAATGTTCTTCAAGGATGTGGGCACTGAGAGGCTACCCATTTTCCAACAGACAGTCCCATACCCATGTACATACAGGGAGCACTAAAAGGACACACACACACACACACACACACACACACACACACACACACACGAGAGGGGGGGATATGAATGAGAATGAACATGGAGTGTGAAGTTAGGAGGGGGAAGCAGGGGATAAGGGAGGAACTGGAGGGGAGGGAATAGGGATGGGTTTGTTCCAAACACATTAGATTCATGTATGAATGTTAAAAAAGTTTTAAAAAATCAATTACAAAAATATTTGTTTTTTATTTAACTCTTAGAACTGGTGGTAGATAGTCCTGTGTTGAATGCTTTATCTTATAGTGAGTCTTTCCCCCTTTATAGAAAACTTTAAGGTTAGCATAAATAATTTTAGGCTTTAATCTGTTTTATTCTTCCAAATGTTCATATAGGATGGATGCTGGCCCAATTTGCACTTTTTGACCTCTTTTGTATTTCTCATCATCATTACTATTTATTATTATTATTATTATTATTATTATTATTATTATTATTATTTTGTAACAAATGGGCAGAGTATACCCAGGAGTCCTGTAGGAGAAATGCCCTTATGTTTCAGAAGATGGGAGACTACAATTCCACAAAGGTGCCTGGAAACCTCCAGAAAGGACCCACAGCTACGTAAGTTAGCCCCAGGCTGGGCTGACCTAAACCTTCCTCTCTTCCTAAATTCATTACTCCTGACTTCCAGGGCCGCTGCCCTCCTGCAAAACCCCCAAGTCCTTGTGTTGTACTTCAAGCAGCAAACCGAAATGCTAGTCTGGCCCCATTTCTCGTCCACTCAGAATTGAAAGGGAATTTGAGAAGATGCTTAGAGGGTGGAATTGTATGTCTTGCTTCAGATACTTCGCTCTGTGTCTTACAACTTTTGCTGTCTAGGTCAGAAAATATACTTTTAGGTCTGACTTGAACCTCTGGTACTTGGGCATGCATATAATCCTGCACTTTTTGGGAGGAGGCAGGAGAATCATTAGTTCCAAGTCATCCTTACCGACCTAGTAAGTCTGAGGCCCCTCAAGATGTGTGAGACCCTTGAAGAAAGCCCTCGTCTCTCGAGCTGTGGGAGGCATGCTCTCGCTGTTGCCCTCCGCTCTGCCTTCACTGGGGATGGCGTCTCCTTTCTTTGTATGGAGCCGTTCCCGTTTTGTGTGTCAGTTTGAGAATTTCATGCATGTGTGTCATGTATTTTGATCATATCCACCCCCTTCCCTCCCCTCTAATTCCTGCTCCACCCCACCCCCACCATCCTTCCTTCCCAACTTCATATGCTCATTTCTAAAACCCACCGAGTCCACTTAGGGCTGTTTGTATGCCCAAGGATGTCGGGCCACCTATTGGAGCATGGGTAGCCTCTCACAGGCCACATTCCTGAAGAAAACTGTCTCTCCTCCAGCAGCTGTCACTTGCCAATGGCTTCTCAAATAGGGGAGAGTCTCCATGAGTCCCTCCCGCTCTGTGCTAGGTTTGGATTGATCTCAGGCAGGTCTTGTGTGTGTTGTTATTGAAAATGTTCCCCTGACTTTGTCTCCCGATGGGTTGATCCAAATTTCTTTGCCATAGTTTCCATAATTCTTTCATCATCTGCAACCTTCCCTTCCTTGATTCCCGGGTCTTCAAGGTCCTTCAAGTGGCTGAGCCCCAAATGAAGCAGAGCTAAGAGTGCCAGCAGGGTACCTGAGAGTGCCTATCCCAGCAGCGTCTGTCCTGGGAACACCTGCTCAGGTATCCTGATTGGCCTTAAGTATCTCGACTGTTCTAGCAGAAATAAAACCTCTCTTCCATATCACCAGGCAAAAAGTACAGCTTCCCTTTGCCTTCAAAATGGTCCCTGCGTGGTGTCTGCTTTCAAACTTCCCAAAGTGCTCCAGTTCACCACCTGAGCCTAAATTCATCACTTTTCATCTTATAAGGCCCGGGAACACAGACATCAGCGGCAAATGAGTTCCTTATATTCTGTTGTTAGTGCGCAGTGTGCCTGGAAAGGTCCTTTGCTGAAATGCGACTCTCTTGGTGCCTTTGTTCCTGTCTCGGTCTGCCCTTCTTGTCTGGGGTTCTGAAGCAGTCCATGCTGGCCTCACCTTCTCATCTGCGCATCTCGTTTCTAGCCCAAACCACCCAAAGCCCCTGGAAAAAAGATTTGAGGACTTTTGATCCACCTGTGTCCCCTTTGAAACCCCAGTTCATGGTGCTCTTCAGTGTTGGGTGTCTTGTTTGCTATTATCTCTACCTCAGTTTCTTTTATTTGGAAATGGTGTGCTGACCTCATTGAAGTATTCATAGCCTGCCTGAGCTAACAGCCGCCGTGCATTTGGAGCAGGGCTTGACCTGTTGGCTTTCCCAGCTGAGACCTGGAAAGGAGGTACCAGCCTGTCTATCCCGTGTGCAATGAAAGGGGTGGGACAAAATGGCTGAGGCATTTAGTCCGTCTTTGGAGCAGTTTTCCTTATTCGGGGTCAATTAATATTTTATTTTTAAAAGCATATCTGCAAAGTAATCATGGTGTCTTGAATATTTTCCTGGGATTATAAAAGGAATTTGCAGAAAACTGGTGAAATCTGATCAATGGCTGGAGTTTTATTAAAATGAGGAGCCAATGTCAATTTCTTTTTTAAGTTATGACAAGCAAGTGTTGGTTATCTAAGGTGTCTAGCATTATCGGAGGTGGGCAAAGGGGACACAGGGGACCTCTGTTCTCTGCAACTTTTCTATGGATCTAAAAATATCCTGAAATGAAAGGTTTATTTTAAGCGATAGCAACTATTTCTCCCTAAGGTAATTTGGGCCATTTCTATTTCTTTGGAAGTCAGAATATTAAAGACTTGATTCTGGAAAAGTTGTTAACATAAAATATGGCTGTAGTGCAGAAATCTATATGCAGAGTGAGTATGTCTAATCATAGCTTAGTTTTTGTTTTGTTTTTTTTCCTGTTTGTCTCTCTCCCCCACCTTCTGTTTCTCCTGCATCCACAAGCTAGTGCCTCATTTATGGTCCCTCATCCAGTAGGCACTGATAAAAGCAAATTTGATCTTAACCTCAAGGAAAAGAGGACATGAGTTCAGCATGGTGCCACCCTCAGAGGGTGCGTAAGGTGGGGGCTGGGAATCCACATATGGGAGACATGTGCCCGGGAAGGCTTTAGCGGCAACTGAGCTACCTACAGGGGATGATCAGCAAAAGCAACTTGAATGGACTCACGCATGCTTTCAGCACAGTGGGAGTTAGGGTGAAAGTACCAAAGATACCTGGCAGTGGGAAGCCGAGGTATGTGGGGCATTTGGGGAACGAGGGAGCTCACGGTCTTTCAGCATAGCACAAGGGGAGCTGGTGAGTCGGCCCAGGGTGGAGTGAGGTGAAGCTTCCTTAGGGCCATCAAAACCAGCAGCGTCTTTCATGGCTGGACCAAGACTATGCTCTCATTCTTCAGGCTAACAGCAAAACCCCCAAACTAAGCATTTTCTCCGTCTTGACTCCCATCGATTCCAGTGGCTCGGGTGCTTCCTAAAAACACAGCAACCCTGAAAAAGATGTTCTTGCTGTGAAAGGCCCTAGGAGCTGGCCTGGTGTGTTTTTGAACTTACGTAGGCATGAATGCTCAACCATAATTTCTACTTAGGCAACAACACATAAGACCATGGTTTTTCACCCCAGCAAAACAGTGAGAAATGATTTTTTTTCTCTTATTCATAGGACAGCCAATGTCTCAAACTGCTTTCTCATTTTAAAACTCCTGGGCTGAAGTGTGTGATGTTCGTATCGGGGAGGCCAAGGAGTTGCATTGTTTTAAACGTTCTGATGCCATCATTTGTGCTGCAGTCGGGGCTAAGAATACACAGGCATCGGAGGAATTCTTATTGATGATGCAGTATCCCTTGGTGCTTTTTGTTTTTAAACAGAAAAAAAATGTCCGTTTTCACATTCTGAGTCTTTTGCCTTTGCTAGAGGTAGATGACAGCATGATGTAGCTGCTGCTGAGTTGAGGATGAACTTGACAGGAGAGAGAATATTCTTTCGTTGTGCGAATGGGTTCAGAGCTTACTTCAGACAGAAAATGATACAGCTATGTTTCTGGTCACTGGTTGAATCCTGCCATCTAGTCATTCTTGCCCTGGATTTCTGCATGTCTCAACATCACTTAGTCCTTGTTCTGTGCCGAGCCTCCTGTCAGGGATGTTCCTTTAGGCTGTAGTAAACACTCCTTGTGAGGTCAATCACTGTGGTGCTATTGCAACGGGTGCTTGAAGGAGCCAAAAAGCTCAGCTTGATGTGTGTTTTCTATTGATTTAAAACACGTTTGTGACCATCCTGTTATATTGGCTTACACGTGCTCATTCATGTGTGTGTGTGCATGTGTGTATAGTCTTAAAGAGAGCACAGTGTCTGTCCAAGGCTTGCAAACACTTGCCTATGACAAATAAATCGTCCCCTTCTTCGGATCCTGAGCTGTTCTCATGTGCTGCAGAGCAAGTTGGATTTCAGTTTGGGAGACCGATGACGTATGGAAGGTGTGTTTTCCGTCAAAGTAATGTGCATTTCATATTATCCATAGCATGTGAGAAACTGTAAACATAAAAAACAACATATTAGCAAACAGATTGATAGCAGGTAACGTGCAACTAGCTGGTAAGGACCCCAGTTTAGGGGAAGGCCTCCTGGGCATGGGGCTGAATGCTCTGGTCTACCTACCTATCTTGGGTTTGTCCACAGGTCATCTTGTACTTAAGAACACAATATCTAGCATGCATTTGTCCCATGCAGGAGGCTTGCAGCCCAACTGAGCTGAACCTTGTTCTCTCTTCATTATTTGATTGCAGACTGTGGGGGAATTGTAGCCATTTGGCTCTCCTTTGGGTCAAGTCTGTGGTATATTTTAGGGTGTTTCACTGGGAGATGCAGCGTGGATTTTTATTATAGCTTCTCCCTTTCCACAAAACTAAGTCATCCTGGAAGCCAGAGAAAAGTAGTTACTTGCATTTTGGCCCTCAAGTTATCTTCTTCCTGTCTGTGTGGTGAGTGTGTCAGGGCCCACTGATGTCTGGGATGTGCCCGTCTGGTTAGTGAAACAAGTGGGGAACCAGGATAACACGGCGTCTGTGCTGACAGTAACCAATGGGGCGACTTGTGTCAGTTACCCAGCTGTTCCTCAGGGAGTCGGGGATGCCCGTACTTGGTTTTGACTGGCTGAAGAAAAAACAGTGGGTCCATTTCAGCAGAAAAATACTGACGACTTGAATCTTTAGCAAAATTAATGGCAGCTGGAGGAATTCCCAGCTGCACATGTAACTGGAAGTGCTTAACTACTCAATTAATCAAGAATGGATGAACTCAGTGAAACACAAAATTTAATCAGTTTGTGCAGCAGCAGAGTTGAAAAATTGCAGGCAAGCATTTTTCTCTATTGACTGCAACTCCAAGTGGCGAGTGAGATGCTCTACAATCCTGGAGCAATGCAAAGATCTTTTTGTACTTTCTTTCTCCTTATTCATTCTTACAAATGTTTATTGTCACCTCCTGTGTATCAAACTCACCTTGGGGATACAAAGATGGAAAAGGTACCCCACTGGCCAGTGGGCAGTTGTTCAGCATACAAGCAATTCAACACAACTTTGGTTGTTTTGGTTTTTTTGGTTTTTCGAGACAGAGTATCTCTGTGTAGCTTTGCACCTTTCCTGGAACTCACTTGGTAGCCCAGGCTGGCCTCGAACTCACAGAGATCCGCCTG